ATGTTTCTCTTATTTCCCATAAATAATTTTTTTTTCGAAGAGATTTTGTCTAATGGATTTACTTTTAATAAAAAACCTTGAGAGTGGGAATTATTATTCCCACTGGAAAGTAATTGGAGCACCTAAAAGCAATGTCTTAATTGTATACCTACTCAACTCAATTTCCATTCTATTCGGACAACGTTTTCATTCAGACATTACAATTTCTTGGCCTGAATGTGAGTCTTTATCATCCATTTATTATGATTATGCTTCTGCAACTCAATCCCACTCTTCAACTCCGAATTTGGCTGTCAACTGGCCAATATCAAATTACGCTCTGGGCTTTTATCGTTCATCCATTTCACACTCACACAATTTTGGACAATATGCAACAGTTGGTCTTGAATGTCGGAAAGTGGTTTCTGTTGCTCTGATTTGACAACTTGTCTTTCGATGCATTCTCGCTTATTTATGCAAAGCAGTTTGTAAAATATTTTCCGCCTTAAATGAAGGCACTTAAAATGTTAAACACTCGGGCCAATCACATGCCAAACACGTTGATGTGTTTGGATTTTGGGGATGTGCGTGTTCGTGGTAACCTTAAAAATAAATAAAGTCAAATTTGGCATGCAAATCCTTAAAATCAAACAAAAGGAATCGCAAAGGGGGCGGTCGTGGGCGTGGCAAATAAACCAAGGCCAATAAACGTCGGCAGGCGACACGCCAGCTGACAGCCAACTCTTTGGCACCCCCAAGCCCCTTTTTTCATCATCCCCCCCTTCCATCCCCACAGCGAGTACATCACAAAACAAATTGGAAAACATAAAATCAACAGAGCTAATAGTTCACTTAGGGCGCAGAACCGGCGACAAAAAGTACGCGACGAACCGAACAGAGCCCCCGGAAATTTGAAATATGGGGGGTGGAATATTGAATACTCTTCAATCTTTTTTTGTTTCAGCTCAAATAGTAAACTTTTAAATTATAAATGGGAATACAACATTCTGTTAAAGAATTTATTAGGTATACAAATTTAATCTGCCATAAAAAGCTTTTACATATTTTCTTTAATATCGAAATTATTAAGGGTTAACTTTAAATGGATAATGAGTATAAATCTATATATTAAAATTTAAAATATAATATTTTATTCGAACTAATACAAATTTTATTCAAGATAAACCTAATTAACTATCTCTCGAAGAAAAAATACTGAAGACATTACATTTTTAATAATCTAAAATAATTTAAAAATGCAGTTCTATATAAAAAATGTATGTATAAACAAATACTTTATTATTTGACCAATATTTTTGTATTTCGTGTACTTTTAGTGTAGGGTATTCCCCGACTGCGGCTGTCTTTGTGGCAGTTGCTGCAGCTTTTCTGCCTTCTTTGCTGTCAGAGAAAGATGGGTCTTTGGTCCCTGCTTTGTATGACATAGTGGCACAGTTTTCCTTCTGTCGTTGGTCGTCTGGTGGGTCTGCGACCAGAGAGCCCTTTCTTATGCCCCCCAGTCACATTGAGCCGATTTACTATTGAAAATAAAATTTTATTAGAATTTTTCTCACCCATTTTTTTTCGTGCCTCGTGAGGTTCTCGGGGGTTTCCCCTTCATTGGGTCTTCTCCGGCGGTCGTACCGCCTTTAAATGTGCAACGCTCTGACGACTTTTGAATTTGATGTGCGCAACTTTTTTACGACACTAACCACTCCGATTTGTTGCGTTGGCCGTGGGGCCGAATTTGATTTAAAACAAAAAAATCTGGGGAATATTTGCCGGTTCACGCAGCTGTTGCTGCTAGTTTGAATAAAATTTTATTGCTTATTGGTTTTAGGAATTGCATATGGTGCGGGGCAAATGGCATGAGTATGCTATGAGTACGACCGGCGGATGCAAGGCGGAAAATCATAATGACTCGTAAATTCATAAGTGAAATATATGGGAGCTTTGATTTGGGCCAGAGAGTTTTATTTATTATGACCCGTCTTTCGACACATTCGTGGGCATTTACATGAACCGCGCTCCGTCCACGCCCAAGTTTGCCGACTAGGCCCCAATAATCGGCCGTACGTGCGTCCCATTCTAAACAAACAGGCGGAGTATTATTATTGGCCTCCCCGGGAGACAGGCAATTGCGCGATTATACCACAGATAAGGCCACGGCATCAGAACTTGGGAGTACACATTTAAAGATGCTATTTTTTGTAATTTTTAATTTGATTTTAATAACTTTAATTTCAATAGGAAACATTAATGGTGAGATGAGATGATGAGCTGGTTTATTTCTACTCGCCTTTATAAGTTTGGGTTTGAAAACAAGAGCAGGGGTTATTAAATTTATTTTTAAGTGCTCATTATGAACATTTAAATGAACCATTGACAGTATTTTTTTCAACCATACACTTTTAAAAAAATCTGACTTAAACTAAAACTAAATATATGCTAAGTCTCTGTTAAATTATCAACTAACGTAATCGCCTGAAAAATATTAAAGTTCTTTATTTAGTTTAATTAAATTTAGGCCTTGCCTTTATTAATGTCAATGATGTTTTTGAATATAATTTTAAATTCATATATATTTTTCTTTGCTTTTTCATATATGTATACCTTTTTTTTTAGAATTGTTTTTATTTTCAAAACAAAGACGCATCTTCAGAGCTATTAATTTACCCCCAGTTGTAGGTGTGTCGGGGGATCTCCACTGGGAGTGGGACCAAAACCAGAAGGGGTCGCCTCTGACATTGGCCACGCGGTCCATGTTGCACGTGCTGGCGGCTTTCCGTCTGTGGACTGCATAAACGTTGCCTCATTATGTCAGGGAGCCAATTGTGAAAATGCCGAGAATCTGGAAAGACATGCAACCAGAATCGCCAGGAATTCGTATGATAATGCCTGAAAATCAAATTCCTCTGCGGGGATTGTTCAATTTGTTTAGCTGTTTGTTTTTGGCGTCTAATGATGCCATTAAGTGTCTGGAGCAAATTGCGGAACAAGCTGTTTGGAGAAGGAAGTCTGTCGGCCCAGAATGATATGCACACATATGTAGAAAGCACTTGATATGTTGTTGCTTGAAAAAAGAACCTGTCAAATTTTAAGATTACAATATTTCATTCCGACTGTGTTCGCGTCAAAAGTTTGAGTTATTCCTGATTTATACGTGACTCAATTCGACCATTATTCTGCACATGTTGGATGTTTAGTCTTACTTTTAAAAAAAAATTAAAATATTGCAAAACAAAACAAAATAAATTGGTCCAGCTGCATTCTTATTAGTGAAGGAAAAGAAGTTGCTGTTTCTTACTAAATTCTAATTTTGCAAAACCCTATATTTTAAATTCCTAATTAATGAAAAGAATGCTGTTAATGTATCATCATATTTTATGACTATTCTTGATTAAAAAACGCTCGTTAAGAGTATGTATATTAAGCTCACAAATTAAGATATAGATCAGTTGCAAGTGTATAATTACTGCAATTTCATTGATGTAGTTCAATTAGTTGTCATGTGAAATGGAAAGTTATTTGAAGAACCCGTCGATTGCCGAAATGTTTTGAGGGAGCTGTCAGCCGACTAATTGAGACAAGAATACACTTTTACTTAATGCTCACAATTGATAGTAATTTGCATTCCAGACCCAGCAAAGTGGCGTGAAAGTGCTGACTCCAAATATATTTTTTCTTGTTCGATTCTTGTTACGCTGCCTAAGTCGCGCTTGATAAATATTAATTGCCCGGCGACAGTTCGGGGTCAGCGACATAGTTTCCGAATGTAAATTGTATCTGTACATTGGATCTGTATTTTCTGGTTAGCTGGCGCCCATTAATTGTGTTAAAATTATGCACACATGACCGGCTGAGAAACTGAAAGTTTCTTGGGAACATTAAAAAGAATGTGTCTATCAACTGCCCTTGGCCACGGATAATTACGCAATGGCTAAAAGCTGGGATCACAAAATGATTTATTGGTTGACGGATTACAGCTTTAACGCTGCAAATTTGACAAATATTGTATTTAAGGGATAATGATTCACATTGATCTCTGACATGCCAACTGACACAGTGCCCCTCATAAACAAAGTAATTTTAATTTTCGGTTCTTTTCAGTTCTAGGTGTGTCCCTAAGTTTGTAAGCCAACTGGTACAGAGGAAAATAATAATGATGATCTTTTTGTATATTTCCCTTTATAAATATGTACAAAATGATCATTAGGCTTATTATAATAGACACACTTTTGACATGATTAAACTTCCTACACAACTAAAAATATTATTACTTAGGAAATCAATTTTTAAACAGAATTAAAAAAGAATAAATAGCCTATAATAATAATTTGTTTTCTGCAAAAATTCTCATTAGAGACATTTAAACTTAGGTCTGACCTTTAAAAAGTATCAAAGAATCACAAATATATAAAACATTCGACGGGAATTTTTGTGTGTAGCACTCTGCCATTCCTAATTACCTATATTTTAGTAATCTTGCCAGGCGATCTGCCTGATTTCGATCCCAAACAGTGATTCATAGTTCGTTTCGTTGAAGTCTGCGATTTTCGTTGGCCAAACGAATGAAGACCGACCGCAAAGTTGTGTGGCTTCCAGATGAACTATCTTTTGGGTGTGTGCGATGGCATGGAAATCGGAATGGCTGTGGGATTGGGAAAGGGAATGGGACAAGGGCTTTGCGGTTTGCAGGGAGGTAATTACAAAATGCTGCCAGCCAAGTGGGCCAAAACCGAGGGATGCCCGTGCGCATATAATTTCAGCATTGAGTCAAGTGTGCGACTCGTGTTGCCAATACTGGTGCCCATAATTGCGGGCGGCGGATAAAGTGTCTGCGGTTGGTTTATTTCCACGCACAAGTGTCCATTCGAGGGGCATTGTTTGTGGGTGCAATCGGAACTGGCCACATTTGTGTATTGATTACCGATGAAAACGGAGTGCCCATTAAATCTCATCATTTTACAGATTCATACGGAGGATAGCTAATATTAATTACTCAATATTACTTTTTGCAGGATTTCGGCTTATATCAAGATGCGTGTGCTATTGCTGATTTTGAGCCTAGTTGGAACGCTTTTGGCACCAGCACTGGGCTCTTTTGACTTGGTCGGACAGTCTATTAAAGGTAAGATGTTTATTGGTTTTTAATCTTACCATCAGGGAAATTTTATTTAGATATCGTTCTTGGTATTCATTTTCCCTGGTTTTTAATGTTTATTAAAATAAATTACTACATTTTACAGAAAGGTGAAAAGGTTAATAAGAATATGAATAATTATTTTCAATTAATGAAGTCTTAAATTTATCTTAACTTAACATTTTTAGAAGTTGATATTATATTTGTACCTAAATCATTACTTTTAAATTTGGAATATGAAATGAAAGCCATTGCTATAAAATTAAAAAGAGTAAAAGTCATTTGTTTATTTATTTACTTCAATTAAAATAATCATAAGTAAGAAATCTAAAAAAATCATTTTTAGGGTCCATTTAATATTTTCATAAGTACGCATTAGAGTTTATATTATTTGTTATTAAAAACGCGCCAAAAATTCATTGCATACTTTCGGGGAGAAGAAAGATCACTGTTGGTCTATCAAAAAGCCTAGCATACATTTAGGAACTCCCAAGTGAAATCCAATGATTCCCAAACTGCAATATAGAGCGATTCGGTGTTCCAATTAGTTCGACTCAAACACCCCCCTCCCCCGTTTTGGGCCCATTTCAGATGCCATGGCCGAATACACGCTGACGGACATAATGAACAACAACCAATTTGCGGGCATCGAGTTTGGGGAGGCGGAGGACGGCTTCCCCGCCTTCCGGTTCCTGCAGACGGCGGACGTGAAGTCGCCGTACCGCATGCTCCTCCCGGAGAAGCTGTACGAGTTCGCCATCCTCATCACTTTCCGGCAGAGCTCGCTGAAGGGCGGCTACCTGTTCAGCGTGGTGAATCCCCTGGACACGGTCGTCCAGCTGGGCGTTCACCTGTCGCCTGTCGTGAAGAACAGCTACAACGTATCGCTGGTCTACACGCAGGCGGACCAGAGCATCGGCCGCAAGTTGGCCAGCTTCGGTGTGGCTCATGTGCCGGACAAGTGGAACTCGATTGCCCTCCAGGTGCTCAGCGACAAGGTGGCCTTCTACTACGACTGCGAGCTGCGCAACACCACTCCGGTCACCAGGGAGCCCATCGAGTTGGTGTTCGACTCGGCCTCCACCCTCTACATTGGCCAGGCGGGCTCCATCATTGGCGGCAAGTTCGAGGTAAGTTCTGCCGGCGGCCAGTTTGATTACCTTTGATCTATGATCCACATATCGCAGGGGAATAATTTTCGAAACGCAAGCGGGCACTCACAAGTTGCCCAAGATCTAATTGAAGTGGAATTTTATTATCCCTTCTAAGTGGGTTCCTTATTTGTTTTCTTAGAACTATAATCGGAACCAAAACGTGATTTAATTGCTTGAGTTCTACTATGGTGGGGGGAAAAATATGTTTTTTTCTTAGAAGTATTTTAATAACCAAAATGTAATCTGAATGCTAGTATTTTTGTGTTTTAGTGTTATTTTTTTACTTTACTTTTGCGTAATGTATACGGGTATCGTCCTTATCTTTTACAAATTGTCCATGAGTATTCAATGCTGGATGTGTTGTATATTTTTTAATTTTTTAAAGGTAAAGAAATTATACTTTAACTATTTTCAACTCGAAGAAACTATTATTGACTATTTTCCATGAGTGAATACTCATGTGTTGTATAATTTTTAATTTTTTAAAGTTAAAGAAATTATACTTTAACTATTATCAAATCGAAGAAACTATTATTAACTACTTGTGCAATTATTATTATGTTGCTGAAACCTCTGTCAACCCAATTCAATCAAAATTTAATGTGATTTAAAGATTTTAGAGCACCTCTTATTTATTAAATAATTATAACCTTGTTGAAAAGTGAAATACACGCTTAATACTTAGTATAACTTATTCGTATGTATATGTTGGGGCAGTTAGTGGTTTGAACTATATATAAATTATTAAACAGTGTTAATGAGATTGAAATCTTGCAAATTGTACATATTTTTTTTCTGTGTATTTTCATCCAGCATAGCTGAGAGCTTTTCACCACTTCACTCTTGAGCCACCCCTAAGTGGCGCCACTTGGCCATCTGGCGGCGGTAGTTGGCAGCCACTCAGGGGAACTCAAACCACCCCCTTCTAATTCCACTCAACAAAATCCACTCAAGCGTTGAGCTGAGAACTTCAGAGTATATTCCTCCTTGCGTATACGCCATGTGGGCTTGAGTCGGACTCGAAACGTTGCGTATACCCCCCGTGGGCCGGTGACTCACTCGAGTCGCTCTTTGGGAAATGGGTATTCAGCACTCGCCCTTATTCAGCAACCGAGTGCACTCGTGGCTGGCACGAGACCCAATGTGTTGTCTGTGGCCCGAACAGATTGCTGTGATTTGATGGGCCTCCTTGGGCTGCGAGTGCGTTTACCTTTTCAGTTGCGTTCGCGTTTCCCAGCAGTTCAGATGGCCACGCGGCCGGGTCTAAGATGAGCTTTTCATTGCTGCCGTGCGGTCGGTACTCGTCCTCGTCTTCGTCTTCGTCTGCGTCTTCGTCCTGCTCGTCTTCGTCCTGTTTTCCGGACGTCGTGAGTGCGGTGGCAGCTGGTACTACTGCTACTACTCCTGTAGATACCATAGCCCCAAAAACAACTGCAAACAAGGCCCTTGTGCTGGCTTAGCCGCAAAAAATGAAAGTGATTTATATGGCCAAATGAAATATGCTCGCCTAAGTGAACCGACCAGCCCGGAATCGAGTCAATTAAAATTCAATTATGCGACCAAAGATGAAGGAGAGGCCGCGCAAGCGTTTGAAAATACGACCGCTGAACTCCTGACTGAAATCTAAAGTCTAAACTGCCATTGAAGTGTGTTCCCAAGCATAATCCTAGCAATCGATCATATCACCAGAGCCAAGAACATATCGTGAAAAAAAAACAATCCCTGTGCCAGACTTATCAACTGCAAAGGATATACGCCAGATATCAAAACTGCAATTACTTTTACCCTTGTTCTGTTTGTTGCAATTGTTATATCGTCGTCGTCGTCGTGGTCGTTGTTGTTTTCGCGTTGCGTCTGCCGGTTGTAAAAGTTCAAGAAGTGGAGGAAAAACGAAACTAAACCCAAACACTGTCCGACCCCCACCTAAAAAAAACTCCACTCAGCGAGCTTGTTCGAATGGAAATCAATCAATTGCACAATGCCAGAGTGCAGTGTGGTGTGAAAAAGTAAATTAATTGCACAGCACGACGTCAAAGCTAAGAAACATACCGAACAGCAATTTAACAATAAAATATAATATCGCAGAAAAAAAAAACCCACATAACATGGCTGTCATTTGTAATTACAAATGAGCCTGGAAAAAAGAAGCGTACATAATTCACAATTACAATAAATTTTAAAGCAAAACTCATACCTATAAATAAAGCAAAGTATTTGCAATTAAATTATCTGTGATTTTTGTCAACATATTGAATATATATTTCGCGCTCGCGTGCATAAATACAGATCCCGTGTCCAATAATTTAACGTGAAAAGTGAGGTTCGAGTGCGAGTGCGTTCGGCTTAAAGGTAAATATGGCCAGCTGGCCAGAAATATAGGCCCCTCGCACACACAAATGGTCTGGAATTTCGCCCATCAAATTGAACATGGTTGGCGCATAAATTATGACAAGCTAGGCCGGGTCAAAACCCAAAGTCCTGCCAGGATATAGGGCCTCATGGATTGCCTGGCACGCCTAAATCAATGGCAAACTCATTAAAGTGCCAGCGAAAACAGTTTTTGCCCCGACGCGTCACTAACCACTGACAGAGTTGGCTCCTCCCGCATCCCATTTTCCATTTCCCCCGCTTTCCGTTCTCAGTTCCCATTTTCCCACTTCCCACCCAATGCTCCTGCATATGCATATTAAAGCAGCACTGGGGCGTATGCGTAATATGTATATGTATACATTTATAATATTGTGGGCTACCCGCCCGCCTTTTGTCTTTGCCTTCTGCGCGGCGCGTTCTTCGCATATGGCCGAAAGGCAAAAGGAAAATACGTTTTATTTATTAAATAAAAACGAAGGCAGCCGAGGCTCGGATTTTAATGGGCATCGGCTTGGATCACACAAAAGGCTCTCGTCGAGCCATAAAGTGAAAGTTAAGCCTTCTAGAGACTACATGAATGGCAATACTATTTTGGGAGAGCTTCAACTTTAAAGTCTCCGGCCATTTGGCCTGCATTTAATTGCACAAGAGGCACAGGAAAATTTCAATTACAAAACAAACTTTGCTCTGCACTTCTTGGCCTAAGTGATCATAAATATTCATGTACCTCCTGTACAGCCTGTATGTGTGTTTGTGTGTGTTTGCTGCTAATATGCATTTAAATATCACAGCCTGATTGTTTTGCTGTTGTTTGCAACGTTGACTTGCATCGTCACTCAGCCTCGCTCTCAGTAATATGTAATTTTGATTTGTAAATTTATCAATTTATCATCATAATGCAATATTAGGACCCATTTATGCTGACACAATTTTCGAAATTCAATTTGAAATGTTTATTTACATATTTGGTGAAATCCACTCCCCCACTGCCACTCAATTGTGTTGGAAATTAGTTTTCTACTAAACACTCAGGTCCTGGCCATTCAATGCCCAACATATTTGAAATTGACCAGTTGACGTTGTTTTGTTAGTTTATAGTTGGGCAATATGCTACATGTTGAAAAGTATACAAAGGAGCATGGTTTAACAAATAATTGGTTTGCTGTTTTTATTGGAAATCTTTTATTTATAATCTCATACTGCTTACACTTGCAAATTTCAAAACAAAGCATAAGTTGTTGTATTTTCGAAATGATTTCATTTATTTTCTTGTTGTATTTTCTTAGTTTATTGAGATATAAGATTTTATGTCTTAAAATGTTAGGGTAAAATTTTCAAAAAGCTTCTTTAAAAAATTTAAATTAAATTTTATTTTACCCAAACCCTTAAATTCCACATAAATACTTCTATGGCTGGACAATTCTTTCTAATGGTGGCCTCTAACAGAGCGACATATGTCAATTGGAAATTTCAAATAAATAATTGACATCCAGAGCAGTGGCTTTGATTTCTCGACCATTAATTTCCGATAGATCTGCTTTTCAATACTCATTTTACCGAATTTATTTCTGCTTGAAGAACGGCCGTGACTGCATTTGAACCCCTCGGCAAGAACACATGTACACATACCTTTTGTATTTATGTCCATAAATGGGTTTTTTATTACGTCTATAGCTGCAGGTCGTTAAAGTCGTACATATTCGTTGCCTATTTTATGGACATTGTGGGGCTGCTGATTTCTGGCTGCCACATAAAACCCTTACAAAAATGCGAACCCAACGGAAATGTCTTCGATGACATAAGATTACGGAGAGTAACGACAAACTATGATTATTTTGTAATTTTATGACTGCCCCCGATGGCGAAGGGCGGAAAGCTATCCCAACCAATGGGGCGTCACCAATAAACATAAATTATGCAAATTTTTGACTTTAATTATACGAGCTGATAGCACCGCCCCACATTCCAGCCCGATTATTTGGGTTGTTATTAATTAAGCCGGGACTTCATGTGCGCGTTTTAATCATTGGGAACACGCGTCCCCGTTCCCATAATCTGTGCAACCCATATATGTTGTGTGGTGTGGTGTGTGGGTGTGTGTGTGTGTGTGCTGTGTGTGTGTGGGGATATCTTGGGGTTTTCAAAAGACCGGGAGGAGCTGTCAGGCCAGTTTTGCTTATCGATCAAACGCTCACAAAAGTCACAGAAGCCTGAGGTTAGACATTAGACATTTCTTGCACTGACGGTTTGTTTTGTTCCGCCTTCGTATTAAGGATACATGTGTGACACATTCCCCCACTCCACCGCCGACCTTGTCACAGATAACTGCAGACAAAGACAGACCCACAGAAAAAGGGAAATTTGTGCGGAAAACGGTGCTTATTAAAAATTACATGTCAAACGGAAAAGCGACGTAGGAAACTCACAACCCAAAACTCACACGCACACATTTACCTACGAGATGACTTAGCACAAAGCTTTGCATTTGGGTGCTTTTTTTTTGGGAGGAAGAACCCTTTTTAAATATGTCGCCCCATTATCTTCATTAGGCGCTAATGTCCAAAAAGGTTTTCCCGGCCCAACTATTGCCCTTTGTAACTTTACTT